ACGGCCGGTCATGCCCGGATTTGGGGTGTGGCATGTGTGAGGTCAGTTATAACTTTTAAAATGTTTTAGGCTTTAAAATAAAAGATTCTAAATAATTCTTTCTTATTATTTGCTCACTGTTACTTATGTATGTTTATTGTCCAAATATCAATATCGTTGTTAACTATTATTACTTTGAAAATTGATAGTTTGTCTATTTGGTTATTATCTTTATTAAGAACGATTGATAAGAAATATCTAAAAGAAAAAAAAGGTAAGATGGTGATCTTACATAAGGACCTTTGTTAACTTCTTACCTATTAAACTACGATTCACGATATGAATCCCGATTTGACAACTATGCTTTTGAGATTTACTTAAGCTAGATGTATCTAAAAAGTAAATATTTATAAAAAATTTAAAAAATATATTGGCTTTCGCTATTAATTTTATTGGAGCACTTCAATACCTAACCATTACCAGACCTGATCTGGCTTTTGCTATTAATTTTGTATGTCAATTTATGCAAAATCCCTTAAATAGTCATTTTGCCATTGTTAAAAGACTCCTCCGGTATCTCAAGGGAACAATCAGCCATAGTTTGGAATTTAGTCCTAGTCCTCTTACCTTACATGCCTTCTGAGACTCAGATTGCGCTGACAATGCTCTTGACAGAAGATCCATAACAGGGTATTGTGTCTTTCTTGGATCTACCTTGGTGTCTTGGTCAGCCAAAAAGCAACCCACTGTGTCTAGGTCTTCCACTAAGGCAGAATACAGGGCCCTCGCTCAGACTGCCACTGAGCTCAGTTGGTTGGTCATGCTTTTATCTGATCTTCACTTGCAGGTTCCTCCTCTTACTATTTGGTGTGATAACCTATCATCTATCTCTTTGTCCTCCAACCTTGTTTCCCATGCTAGGTCTAAGCATATCGAAGTTCACTATCACTATATCAAGGAAAGGGTAGCTGCCAAGAAGCTTTCTATCCACCATGTTGCTTCTTCAGATCAGTTAGCTGATAAACTGACTAAGCCCTTATCCATTCCTCGATTTGAATATCTACAGTCCAAGCTTATGGTTCAACCTCTTCCCATAAGCTTGAGGGGAATGACAAGCCATCACAGCTTGAGTATAACAGGCCACATGCATCCACAGGTCATAAGCCTATTGAGCCACAGTTGTTGCAGCCGCAGTCAAGGCTACGGTCTCACCATCAGCTCAACAAAACAGTTGGAGGTTGTTCACAATTAAACACGTGTGAGAAGCTTAGAGCACTACAGTCCACTTGTGTTTGTTAGACAGTTGTGTGTGTTAGCTAAACCCACTGGTTAGGTTAATCAGTTAGATCGAAAATGTATATAAATACTGTTGTATGTACTTGAAGATTAGATTGAATAATATGAATCTCAAATTCTCTTTAGTATCAAGGTCGAAGGTTCTTAGATTTGTTTGGGCAAATGCTGCTCCCCCAAAAGTTAAATTCTTCGGATGGCTAGCTTGGTGCGGGAGGATCAAATCGGCAGATCGATTTATGGGGATTGGGATCATTTCTAATCAGGAGGATGGGAGGTGCAAATTTTTTGGTTGTGATATGGAATCAGTTGAGCATGTTCTGATTTGGTGTGTCAAGGCTTGGAAGGTATGGGCTGAAATATTAAAATGGTGGGGAATCGTTTGGGTGGTTCCGGGCTCGATTAACTCTCTTTTGGAGTAGTGGCAAAGTTGGAAGTACAAAAAAGCAAAGAAGGTATTATGGGAAGCAATCCCATTTGCAGTACTATGGTCAGTTTGGGGTTTAAGGAATTGATGTGTGTTTAATAATGTGCAACCTGATTGGGGTGAGTTGGTTAAGTTAATCAAACATCATGTAGTGTCTTGGGCTAGTGTGAAACCTGACATAAAGACAGCATCCAGAAATAGTATTCTATGTTGCCGGAAAGACCTTTCGTCATGTTTATGAAGGGGTTGATGATAGGTTAGGAGAAGAATTGACAACTGACATTTGTAGCTTGGGCAGATGTTGTATAAAGGGGTTGCTGCATTTATGGTTGCTACTGTTGCCGTGGCTGATATGGTCTGCCGATGATGTTTGGTTTAGATTGTAGGATGGGTGGTTTCGGCTCTTTGGTTGCTACTACTACTGTTTGTTGCTTTTCCAGTGTTTTGGGTGTGTTTCTGTTTGGTGTTCTGCTCTGCTCATTGGTTGGCTGCTGCTCACTGAAAAGCCAAGGAATGGGTGGTCTGAAGTTGCCTTGATACAAGGAAAGTAATGGGTAGGAGGGTTTGACTTTGTGCTCTAAGGTTCATGATTTTTGTGCTCTGTTGTGGTAAAGTGAAAGGCCTATAATTGGTGCATAAAAGGAAGAGGATATTGAAATGAATTGGTATATGTTTGAAGATTGCAACAGCTGTTTTGATTTGAAGAACTGTGTATTTGGTATTGGTAGCATGGTGGATGGTTTGGTCATTATGCAATTGTCTTGCTGCTTGTTTTTTTAGCTGTTCTTGGTTGGTTTCTCACCAACTTGGTGGTTGTGCTAGCATATGATTGGCCTTACTTTGCAGTGCCAACCTAGTTGGGGTGACAAATCACAAAAATTCATAACTAAGCTCATCAAAAATTTGTAACTTTTTTATGGTCATAACATATTTGTAACATAAACACAATAGTTTATAACTAAGACTTTTTTTTTTTTGATCGTATGTCCCTACATAACTAAATTGTAACGGGTCATAACTAACATCACATAAACCCTTGTGAGTTGTTCATCCACACACCATTCTCATCACAAGGAAAGTTAGCGAGCGTGGGGCATTCTACTTTCTCCAAGTAAATCAAATTGGGAAATAATGTTCTAAATTCTGTCCAATGCATCTCTAATTTACTCAAGTACTTCAACCGCAATTTATTGACTGTGGTAGATGCTATTGGGCCTAAATCACTTAATTGCCCTCCTCTAATGTAGAGTTGCTTTAGGTTGGCAGGCAAGAGCGAACTGGATATAATCATCATAGGGAAACACTCAAGCACCAATTTTTGCATTGAGCAAGGAAATTTAGGATCATCTGACCAATATGAAGTGGGTAATCTTCTCAGGTTTGTGGTGTGCCCTTGTACTTGTGCTCGTACTTGCATAGGTGTGTCATCTGTTTCACCTTGTGAAATACATCCTGACCAAGATATTTTCAATTTTTGCAAGGCTTTTAATCTTTGTAAACCACACACTTGCTTATTAGTTGGGAATTCTTTTGAACTAGTGTATATGCTCAATTTTCTAATCTTTGATAGTTTAATCAAATCATGTATAGTACATGACTTTTTATCTGTTGATTGTCCAATAACAAATCCCTTAAGGACTTCGAGTTGTAATAATGAACCAAGAGTCTTGGGCATATGATCTAAAAAGTAACACTCAGACATGTCCAAGTGTGTCATACTCTTGAGCAAACCGATCCCATCTGGAACCACCTCAAGATTGTGACATGCTATAAGATCGAGGATCTTGAGATTAGTGAGCTGTAAAATGAATGAGGGAAGCATTGTAATCATAGAAATACCTCGAAGGCTAAGAAACCTCAATTGATTCATATTCTTCAGTCCATGGAGAATTTTGTTGTCTGCCACTTCAATGTGATGTGTGGCCGAGCTCTGCCACCTTCCCAAGTAAAGAATTTTCAAACGATTCACCTCCGAAAATTTTTCAAGCATGTCATCAATAATAGCCTCACTGATGTTGAGCAAGCATCGGTTTTCATAATATTGAGCAAAACTTGGAGGACAAATTGGACGGAAAACAAACCTCTCAGCAACAATGGTTAAAGCAGAAAGAATATGAGGCCACATCCTGCAGCAGTCCACAACCAAGCTGCAGTTTTTGTAGATAGGCTCAATGAATCCCTTTGCAATAAGCTCATCCATGAACTCATTGCCCAAATCCTCTGCTGTCTTCCGCAACAGTAGTCCTGTTTTTTGGTCCATTGGGATAGGGGATAAAAGTTCCTCTCCAATCCACCAATGAATCATAAGCTTTTTCTTTATAGCAACCATTTCTGGGAACCTCAAGAAACATAACAAACAGACTCTTAATGTGGAGTTGAGGCCAAGGAAAGATATCTTGAATTGTTCAAACGCAGTGGTTTGCTCGAACTTTGGGCCCTCGCGTAAGCTTTGCGATATGTTATCATGGTCATCGGCCTTGTTGTTTGCATGGATTTGGTTGCTGCTTCTGTTAATGGATCCATCTAACCATGGGTTCGGACGTTGTTCGGAATCAGCATAATGGATTCTAAACTTTGAAGGAATCTGAGATTTGAACTTCTTGACTGTCTTTTTCAGTTTGCCAAGCTCTCTCTCACTGCCTCCTCTTGTTTCAAGCTCCTCAAATTTCTCACAGGTCTTTTTGATTCGCAAATTCATCTGATCTGCGTACTTCTGAACCTCTGCCATGGCCATCAGAGTGAAAATAAGATCTTGACGAATCATGTTAGAAAGTGCAGCAGCTCTGTCGTGGTAATCATTGTTGTCGATCGTTGTGGTGGAGGCAATTGAAGTGGTGGTAGCTGACTTTGTGCTCTAAGGTTCATGATTTTTGTGCTCTGTTGTGGTAAAGTGAAAGGCCTATAATTGGTGCATAAAAGGAAGAGGATATTGAAATGAATTGGTATATGTTTGAAGATTGCAACAGCTGTTTTGATTTGAAGAACTGTGTATTTGGTATTGGTAGCATGGTGGATGGTTTGGTCATTATGCAATTGTCTTGCTGCTTGTTTTTTTAGCTGTTCTTGGTTGGTTTCTCACCAACTTGGTGGTTGTGCTAGCATATGATTGGCCTTACTTTGCAGTGCCAACCTAGTTGGGGTGACAAATCACAAAAATTCATAACTAAGCTCATCAAAAATTTGTAACTTTTTTATGGTCATAACATATTTGTAACATAAACACAATAGTTTATAACTAAGACTTTTTTTTTTTTGATCGTATGTCCCTACATAACTAAATTGTAACGGGTCATAACTAACATCACATAAACCCTTGTGAGTTGTTCATCCACACACCATTCTCATCACAAGGAAAGTTAGCGAGCGTGGGGCATTCTACTTTCTCCAAGTAAATCAAATTGGGAAATAATGTTCTAAATTCTGTCCAATGCATCTCTAATTTACTCAAGTACTTCAACCGCAATTTATTGACTGTGGTAGATGCTATTGGGCCTAAATCACTTAATTGCCCTCCTCTAATGTAGAGTTGCTTTAGGTTGGCAGGCAAGAGCGAACTGGATATAATCATCATAGGGAAACACTCAAGCACCAATTTTTGCATTGAGCAAGGAAATTTAGGATCATCTGACCAATATGAAGTGGGTAATCTTCTCAGGTTTGTGGTGTGCCCTTGTACTTGTGCTCGTACTTGCATAGGTGTGTCATCTGTTTCACCTTGTGAAATACATCCTGACCAAGATATTTTCAATTTTTGCAAGGCTTTTAATCTTTGTAAACCACACACTTGCTTATTAGTTGGGAATTCTTTTGAACTAGTGTATATGCTCAATTTTCTAATCTTTGATAGTTTAATCAAATCATGTATAGTACATGACTTTTTATCTGTTGATTGTCCAATAACAAATCCCTTAAGGACTTCGAGTTGTAATAATGAACCAAGAGTCTTGGGCATATGATCTAAAAAGTAACACTCAGACATGTCCAAGTGTGTCATACTCTTGAGCAAACCGATCCCATCTGGAACCACCTCAAGATTGTGACATGCTATAAGATCGAGGATCTTGAGATTAGTGAGCTGTAAAATGAATGAGGGAAGCATTGTAATCATAGAAATACCTCGAAGGCTAAGAAACCTCAATTGATTCATATTCTTCAGTCCATGGAGAATTTTGTTGTCTGCCACTTCAATGTGATGTGTGGCCGAGCTCTGCCACCTTCCCAAGTAAAGAATTTTCAAACGATTCACCTCCGAAAATTTTTCAAGCATGTCATCAATAATAGCCTCACTGATGTTGAGCAAGCATCGGTTTTCATAATATTGAGCAAAACTTGGAGGACAAATTGGACGGAAAACAAACCTCTCAGCAACAATGGTTAAAGCAGAAAGAATATGAGGCCACATCCTGCAGCAGTCCACAACCAAGCTGCAGTTTTTGTAGATAGGCTCAATGAATCCCTTTGCAATAAGCTCATCCATGAACTCATTGCCCAAATCCTCTGCTGTCTTCCGCAACAGTAGTCCTGTTTTTTGGTCCATTGGGATAGGGGATAAAAGTTCCTCTCCAATCCACCAATGAATCATAAGCTTTTTCTTTATAGCAACCATTTCTGGGAACCTCAAGAAACATAACAAACAGACTCTTAATGTGGAGTTGAGGCCAAGGAAAGATATCTTGAATTGTTCAAACGCAGTGGTTTGCTCGAACTTTGGGCCCTCGCGTAAGCTTTGCGATATGTTATCATGGTCATCGGCCTTGTTGTTTGCATGGATTTGGTTGCTGCTTCTGTTAATGGATCCATCTAACCATGGGTTCGGACGTTGTTCGGAATCAGCATAATGGATTCTAAACTTTGAAGGAATCTGAGATTTGAACTTCTTGACTGTCTTTTTCAGTTTGCCAAGCTCTCTCTCACTGCCTCCTCTTGTTTCAAGCTCCTCAAATTTCTCACAGGTCTTTTTGATTCGCAAATTCATCTGATCTGCGTACTTCTGAACCTCTGCCATGGCCTTTTTCATGAAAATAAGATCTTGACGAATCATGTTAGAAAGTGCAGCAGCTCTGTCGTGGTAATCATTGTTGTCGATCGTTGTGGTGGAGGCAATTGAAGTGGTGGTAGCTTGGTTGTCAAGTGGCCTTGGTTTGGAGATGCTGCCCATGGCCTTTGCTGCCGAATCACCAGAGTTATTGAATGATGGAGTGTCTTCTGATGATGATGATAAAAGTGCTATATTTATTGATGTTAGTGTATAGTTGTTATAATATTATAGCTATTATAGCATTATAGCTTTATCTTTTATATTTCTTAATGTAAAGTATACAACTTTTCCTTTATGCTTTCGGTGCCTACATTTGACATCCAATGTATCCCTCTCCTCTCTATAAAGAGAGTGCATTCTCTTTGTAAATGAATACACACAATTACACCAACAGGGGGTTGGTTCAGTGGATAAGACTTTCGAATCCCTTGCTCAAGGCTTGGGTTCGAGTCTCCATAACCCCTTGTTAAGGTTAAACATACTTTTTAGTCCCTGGAGCACGTAGGGGCCTAAGCTTCGGCCCTGACGTAGGTGCGGTAGGATTCCCTGCAGATATGTTATAGATGCTAAGGGGCAATACTCTCTGACGGATATGTTGGAATAATCTATTTGCATATCGATTTTCTTGAATAAAAAAAAAAAAAAAATTCAATATACACATCTTACACACAATATCTCTCTTGCAATCTCTGTCCCCTTTGAGTAAAGACAATTTGACATATATTGCTGATTGGATTTTGTGGGCTACCTTAGACATCGACATAATTTGGTATTATAAATATTAAGGGTAAATTACACTTTGCATGATTGGTATTTTAAATATTAGAGCCTTAATTGTATTTTAAAATTAATTTGTACACTCATACACTCAACCCTTTTTAACTTGTGCTTTTCTTTCCATCACACGTTAAAAAAATTGGGATAGTAAAGTCCTATGGAATGATCTTATACAAAGATAAGTTCAAAAAACATAAGTGAAATCTATTAACCCATTTAAGGCGAGTTTCATATCATTTATAAGTTAATTTATTTATCTTATCTGATTAAAAAAATTATGGATTTGATTGTAATTTTAAAATATAGTTTATTTGAACTTTTTTTCCTGCTTATATGGCCCAAAAAAAAAAAATAGTGTAATTTTTGTAAGTTACAATTTGTAACTCTTGAGCTTTGAAAGCATTAAGTACCTATGGAGTCCCATCTCTTTTGTTTTAATTATAACTTTTTAGGATATCTTAAATATTTGAACAATAAAAAAAATTACATGACAACTTATATAACCAAACATATTTAATTTTTTTACAAATTATGAAAAGTTACAGTAAATAGATTCACACTTTATTTTAAATCTTACAAATTAATAATTAAAAATTATAATTATAAAAACTAACTTATAAATAATACCAAACAGGAGCTTTGTCCTATGTAAATAGATGGTTGTACGCTAAAGTCCTATTTTTAAAAAGTTATATTTTTATGACTTTTTTATCCTTATTTTAAATTCATGAGCAGTAGACAAATAGGTGACACGTGAACAAATAAAAAAATGGCATGTGAAAAAATAGATGGACAGATAGGTAGAGATAAATGGATAGTAGACAAATAGACAGATAACTAGGGGTAACATGGCCATTCAAATTGTTTTGTCTTTCGACCCCAAAAGAATAAAACTTAAGACCATTGATTTAAAATTAAACTTATGGCACGGAACCCTTTTAGCTGTTTATTGGGCTTTGTCTCACTAACCAGAATTGAAGTTCGGCCTCAAATGTGATTGTGGGCTTCCCGCTGTGGTTTCCAAATGGGGCCTTAGTAACATAGAGGCTTAGCTGTTTAAGCAAAATCAGCCCGGCCCTAGCTAATTTTAAATACTCCTCGCCTAATTTTTTTATATAAAATTGGGCTGATCAAACCGTGGGCCTCAGGCTCCAGTTTAATCTTCAAAGATAAAAGTTCAGGTCCCACCCCGCGGAGTCCGAGCCCAAGCGATCAAGCCCTATGCTTGGGGGAAACTATAGACTATTCTCGGAGTACCACGTATCCGTACTCTTAATCAATCATAATTTATTCTGGCCCCTCATATTCCTCAATCACCCAATATAATATTTCACATACCCACCTTCTCCACCAATCACAATATTATGAAATACTATGCATCTATATCCCAAAATTATTGAATAATTACCATGCGCTTGGCTTAGCACAAATTTATACGTATAATAGGAGCCAACTAAACTAAAAAAAAGAAAAGAAAAGTCATTGTATGATGGGACATGTTTGGTACAATTTATTATAAATTAAAAACTCATAATTAAAAAGTAAAAGTTCAAAAATCCCTTCTTTCAAGTTTTATATAATTACCTTTTTGTTTTAACTTATAAAAAAATAGTTCCGCTAGGAAGCTCGAATATTCGCCTCCCCCGAATGGCTCGAATGAATTGGTATTGGTTGTTATAGTCTTTGGCCCAATTGCCCCAAACCTGTGTGAAACCCATGCATTTACATAACAACGAAAGAGGAGAGAGGACTACGAATCATTTTTCTTTGAAGATAAGCGACCTATTGGAAATGGTCAAGCGACTACTGCTAACCACCGACTTGGGTGTTCACTGACGATAACAACGACCACCGCTAACCACCAACATTGGTAAACCATCATCCACCACTCTTCAATTTCTCCGGTTTCTCGGGAAAATTCAATCTTGACTACCAAGATAAAAGTCTCGTCTGTTAGGCAAATCTCAAGCATCTCTCTGTCCTCTGTTCTTTTTTAAACCCAAACTCATAATCAAAATTAAAATCAAATCCACAACTACAAATTTCTTTCCTCTTTTTCGTTCTTCTTTTTTGAACCCAAAATCAAAATCAAAATCTAAAATCAAATCCCAAAATCAAAATCAAACCCATAGCTACAACCACAAATCAAAATCTAAACTCAAATTTGACAAAATCAAACCCAAATCTGTTGACGCAGTCGTAGATCGTGGTTCCTCACTCTTCGGTGAAATTAATCATAATTTACAAACTCTGTCACTTGTTCTCTCTCTACACTTCTCTCACAATATATGTATGACTGTGCAATAGAAAACACTTTATGATTCTCTCACATAGTGAAATGTTTTTATTTGACACACTCATATACTTCGTAAATTAACAAATACTAAATACGTAAAATTGAATACCATTTTTGTCAATGTGTAGTAACAGAACACCTCACTCTTTTTCATTTGTAATTATTAGTCATATTAATAAATAAATAAATAATATTGTCATATTTCTTACACCATAATGTATATTTTTTTTGTTGTTTTATTGTTATATTTACATATTATCTGTATTAATTTCAATTGTTTGAATTTTACCAAAAACAAGATCAATATAATTATACTAAACTTGTAAAATTTATTATATTTTCTTCTAATCTTCAAGAATGGTCGGTGGAGAATGCTTATTGATACCGAATCTCTTCCTCTTGTCTCTCTTTCATTCTATTTTCAATAATATTAATGTTATAATCCTAGAAATTTTATCCTGAATTTTACATAAAAATAATAAATTATGACTCAAATTCATTTTATATTTAGATTCACATTACACTAATTCAATCTCCACTACAAAAATACTCTACTCAAAAAAATCTGGAAAAAAGAATCTGGCCATAACATTTTTGTTTCAGTGAAATAGTGACGGGCATTCCATTAGTAAACATCTATTGAAACTTCTATTAATTACTAATTTGCATTTTTGTTTCAGTGAAATAGTGACTGGCGGTGGCATTCCATTAGTAAACATCTATTGAGGCTTCAATTAATTCTAGGACTCTTTAACAGTTTGGATGAAGGGGCTCTAGGTTGACTTTGGCAGTGGTGGGGTGGCTTGGCTATAATGGTTAGGAGAGTATTCCTACACCACAAGTTATTAGTTTAAAGATTGTGTTTGCATCATTAATTTTTGTATGAAATTAAAAAAATATATATGTAAAATATAATTATATTTTAGAGAGATTTATTTATAAGTTTTATTTCGGATACTTATACTATGTTAAGTCTTGCGTAATTTCTTATAGAGTTTCAAGTCCTATTTAGATAAAAATGTATTTCACAAGATCTTATGAGTTGTAAATAAATGGTATTAATATACTATTATACACTATAATGACAAAACTATATATAGGAAATTGAATGTTACCATAGAAAGTAATATTTTCACATTCAATTAAAAAAATCAAAAACCTAGTAAGTTTGCGAAACGTAACGTGACACGTTACGTTACGTTTATGTAGGTGTCACGTCACGTTACGTTTAAGTAAACGTCATGTCACGTTATGTAATGTCCCATCTGATATGGTCACGTTACGTTACGTTTATATAGGTCTCACGTTATGTTTTGCAAACTTAATCTATGGTAGCATTCAATTTCCTATATATGATTTTACTATTATTTATGATATTAACAACAAATATTGACGGTAAATGTGTCAACAAACTTCATACAGAACTTATAGAAACATAAATTTTTTAATAGGACCCTATATAACATAACCCTAATAGGACTTATAAATAATTTTTTCTAAATTTTATTTATATTTTATTCATATATATATTAAAATTCTTATATAAATTTATAATTCAAACAGTGTTTAAATAATTTTGATAATTCAATCTAATTTTAATTCTCAATTGTCTTCATCAAAGAAAATGAATGAGGACGAAAGGGCTTTTTATGGCAAGATATCCAATATCTTTCAATAAGTGTAAATTATTTTTTAAATTATCTATTTCTCATCTTACCGACTTAAAAGTACATAAAAACATGGTGGGAGGAACCTTCTCATGGGAAAACAGATGGAAAATAGCTGGCCTTTTTTCTGGCTCTCACCACTTTTATTATGATAAATTCATGGAAAATGCTTGGGAGCACTAATTAGTGCTCCCACTAATTAGGTGGCAGTGGGTCTCGCCATTAATGATGTGATGTTTTGATTTTGGAGTTGTATTTTTTTTTTTACTTTTTTAATGCATTAGTGTTATTAGTGGTGATGTTTTTAGTGGGATGAATCATTGTTGTAAATTCATTTGGTAAAGGTTATGTACACACTTTTTGAAAGATTTGTAAAAAAA